GGGGTTTCGGTGGGCACCTTGAAGACCAGGCTTGATGCCTTGCAGATGGACCTCGGGAGCGGGCAGGACCCCTCGGCCCATGTTGCAATGGGGCAGCAGGAGCACAAGCCTTTGGGTCTCTATTTCCACCTCCAGGCTGGGGGGCGGCTGGCATCGGTCCCCGCGTGTGCCCGGGGACCGGGGTGCGCTGGCACGTGCTCCGACATACGACTGGCATGGTGACAAATGGGAAACCACCCTTCCCATCCCCATCCGTGTGCCCATCATGCCCACCTTCGTGTCCTACCTGCACGTGGGAGGTGGGTGTGTGGCGACACGAACGCTAGCAAAACCTACGTCGGCTGGAGCCGGATGAGACGTGCTGGCCTAGATGCACCTACGCCGGGTGCTTCAAGCTCAGCCTCCAAATCAGGGGCTTTAACAGAAGGAGACAATCCCCAACCTGGGGTTTCCAGACTCAGCAAGGGTCTCCAGAGGGGAAGGCTGGCTTTCAGGTAGGAGGTGAAGTGAAAAGCCAGCACCACGCCAGAGACCCAGCGAACAATAAAACATTGCAATCAAGGCTCCACCTCCATCCAGGAAAAGCATGGGAAGCAGGAGCTCAGCAAACAATGGCAATCAAGTGATATTTCTTACTATAATACCACGTCTAAGGAGCCAGCTCATTTTCCCTTTTTTTCTGGAAATCAAATGGCAAGAGAAAGGAGTTAACTGCTCCAGTTTTTCAAGACACAAAAGGCCACAATTGGCAGCATCAGTCACAAGTGTTATGAGACGTGCCTGCCTGTTCTCCGAGGCTTTCCCCGCGCTCCCGCTAACAGTTTCCTTTCCAAATATTTTTGAGCGTCGCCTCGCTGCAGAGACGAATTTTCCCACCCTCGCGGAGCCGTGCGGCTACACTGCCCCCGGGGTCTGCCACGCTATGTTTTGTCTGCTAGTCCCACCTGCTGCCCCAGTGCTTGGGGTGGGGGAGCACAAGAGAGCTTTGGATGGGTGCCTGGGGGTGTCCAAACCTCAGCTCTGCAGAGAAACTCCACGAGATGCACGCCCCGAAGGGTGACCATCACCCCAAGGACCATCCGGTACCACCACCTCCCAACATGACGAAGCTCCCTTTTTTTGAGGGACTTCGCGGGCCACCAGATCCCTGTTTGACAAAGGCCTACAGATCTGCTGCATGGTTTTCCCAGCCGAGAGCGGTGCTGAACGTGCGCAAAGGTCACCCTGGCTCATGATAAAATCAAAGGCAGGAATTTATTGCTATCAGCAAATCAAGGGCAGTCCCAAATCAAGAGCACGTAACTCCCCTTGCTTTCAGCACGTGCCCACCCTTGCACAGACCTCGCCCCTGAGATCGTAAGAGCCAGACTGGCTGACCTAGCCATTGCTCAGCCAGAGAGATGCCCGGGCAGTTTGCATCTCATGTCCCGGGGCGTTTGTACACGCAACGTTTTTTGCCCTTTCCTGTGTTTTAACTGCGTGACTGTTTGCACGATCGGGATTTGGCAATAGTGGAGGCAATGTCTCTTGTTCTGAGAGCACTTCCACGAGGAGCTGCAATGTCACATGCAGCCGGACAAGGATGGGCCATTTCGTTTTCTCCAAACCGGACCTCCAAGTGCATCTGAAATCACGGGGAGTTCTTGCCCTCCATGTCCAGAAAGGACAGTGTTGGGACGGTGATCACCACATCGACAGCTCCAGCATCACTGGAGCGCAGGGACAATGGTTTTGGTCCAGGGTAGAGAGTCTTGGTCGCTGGCTGGGGAATGTGGCCCTTGGAGAGGTTGCCCATGGGAGCAATGTCTGTCTGAGAGGATGGGCATCACCCCCAAGGAGCAAACAGGAGCACCATGAAGGCCGACGGGAGTCGGCCTCTTGGCTCTGACAGGTGCCCAAAGTTGGGGGTTGTCCCAGCTGTCAGGATGGCTCCTCCAAGCCCATGTGTTCACCTAACACCTGTCAGAGCAGGTGGCACCCTCTGCTCCGTGTTGGTGTCCTCCACAAAAAGTCATGCACCCCGAACGAAGGCTGGAAAGGACCCCGAGAGATCAACTAGTCCAACCTGAGATCAAACCTGCAATCTTGGTGTCATTAGCACCGTGCTCCAGATGTGGCCTCACCAATAGAGGACAATGTTCATGAGGGCAGTGGTTCTTCCCTTGGGGAGGCCACATCTGGAGTCCTGTGTCCAGCTGTGGGCCCCCTGCTACAGAAAGGATGGGGACAAGTTGGAGACAGTCCAGTGGAGGGCAATGAAAATGGTTAGGTGCTGGGGGACAGGACTTGTGAGGAGATGCTGAGGGAAATGGGCTGATTCAGTCTGCAGAAGAGAAGACCGAGGGGGGATTTGACAGCAGCCTTCACTTCCCTGCAGGGGGGCTGCAAAGAGGATGGAGCTGGGCTGGTCTCAGTGGGGGCAGACGACAGCAGGAGCAATGGGCTCAAGCTGCAGCAAGGGAAGTTGAGGTTGGATATTAGGAAAAACTCTCATGAGGAGGGTGGCGAAACACCGGAACAGGCTCCCCAGAGAGGTGGTGGCATCCTTGGAAGTTGCTAAGACCCAGGTGGACTCTCCATCCTTGGAGGTCTTGAAGACCTGGCTAGATAAAGCCTTGTCTGGGATGATGTAGTTGGGGCTGGTCCTACTTGGAGCAGGGAGTTGGGCTAGATGTGACCTCGTGACGTCCCTTCAATCCTCATTTTCTATGAATTTTAACAGTCCTTGAGTCACTGGCAGCAGCAACCTCATGAAGCTTGGGCATTAATTAGTGAAAAAGCAACACACACGCTGACCCCCGTCTGGGCCTATCTGAGACGCATGGAAAACCAGTGGGTGTATCTGTGCTAGCGCCGGAGCTCACTCCCAAGATGAGTCAACCGACCAGGGTGGCACCTCCTCTTCTCTCCTTTTTTTTTCCACTCGCTGTCTGCCAGCTCTCTGAAGTGTGGGGAAGGAACAAATGCACCCACAGAAGAGGAGACAAACATCCCACGGCTGCTGTTTCCAGCCAAGGAGGCTTCAAGGAGGGCATGCATTGAGCCCTGGTGCTTCTTGCAAAGCAGACGCTCTCCTGATGACAACCAGGTCCTCCCCTTCCCCTTCCTGCAAGGCTCTCCGGCAGCTTCAAAAGAGCAGTTGCTACCAAATGCACACCCCGAGCCCCTGGGAAGATGGATTTTGGCCATGCCCGGAGGGAGAGAGAGACTGTTTCCCCCCAAAGCAGCCTGACTGTGCTGTCGCCCTTGCTGCGATGATCTTGCCCGGGAGGCTTTTTTTCTTTTTTCTGCTGGGTAAAAGGCAAGCTGGTTGGTCGCCTCACCTTGGGTGTTTCGCTCCCCGGAGAAAGCCCGAACTGCAGGAATGTCAAACGAGGCTAAGTAGTCGCCCTAGCATCCCTGCCAGACAAAAGCTGACACTTTCTCGCGCTAAATTGCTAAGAGACAGTCAAGGACTCTTCAACGCGCCTGTAGATTGTGCGACCGAGCTGGAAACTACAAACCACCAGATATTCTTGGTCAGCTGGGGCCCATAATCAGATAAAACCATAAGGGAGCCAAGACACAAAAGCCCATTTGGGGCCTGTTGAAACGACTGGAAAAAATTCTTTGTTTCGGTCTCCTTTTCTGTTCGCAAAGTGCTTCCCGATGCTCCTCGGGTTCGCCCCGAGCCGGGGTGACTGCAACCGAAAGGCTTCAAGAACACTTGTTTCTCGGCTTAGCTATTTGTTTGCTGGCAAGATGTATGTATTTAATGAACTGTTTTGCATGCTTGGATTGGGCCTGAGAAAATTAACCGAAACCATTGTTCCCGGCTGGCCCTCTGGAGCGCTCTTCAGAAGAATTACCTGCTGTACAGCAATCTCGGCTCGGCCAGGAGATGAAGGGTGGCTGCAACGCCGCTTTGAACAGGCCATTGTTGCCGCAGAAATGTTTAGGAATCAGCCATTTAATGAGAACAAAAGAAATTAATTGGTGGTTTAGGCCTAATGAGACTGCTGTGCAAATTAACAGTCCTCATCAGCAGAAACAAACAGAGTCCTTAAATGAATTGCGGTGGAGCATTACACTGACTAAGCTTTTGCTGGAATGATAAATAGCAGGTCAGAAGAGACCATCTGCGCTTTTTTTTTTTTTTTTACTTTTTTTTTTTTTTTTTTTTTTTACTTTTTTTTTTTTTTTTTTTTTTTACTTTTTTTTTTTTTTTTTTTTTTTACTTTTTTTTTTTTTTTCTTTTTTTTTTTAGGGAGCGAGGAATGAGGCTTAGTGAAAAAATAGATCTCAATAAAGCATAAATTCTCCATTTTATTCATCTCGGCCCAGCTTGACACCACCATCTTACTACGGAGATAAAGAAGAAAACCACTTGCATTTGCATCTGAAAAGAGCAAGACTATGGCCTATACACTCGTGAAGCCAAAGAGTTCTGATTTCAAGGGATATTTAGCCTCTATTCAGGCTTGCACAAAAGCCTAGCCTCCAGTAAAGCAGTGGTAGGCCTGTCTGATTAAGGCTGTAGACAGAAGCCTTGTATATCTGTCACAGAGCTCATTTGTTCTCTCTGTTTACTTAAGACGTTCTTCAATTCCCAGTGAGGATTTGTATTTCTGGGTTGGTTTACTTATGCTCATATGCTGAAAAAAATCTGTCTGATCTTTAATAATCAAAGTCATTAGAATAATCCTTTCAGGGCTGAATGAAGGATTATTTCTTCATGTCATTTTAGTTTCATCCTCATTTGGTCTCCTAAAATGCAAGGGTGGGGGGGGGAAGCACTTCACAAGCCCCACGATAGACCGGGGTCCTTCACGTCCTCCAAAATTCCCACCCACACGCCTGCCAAATGCAGGCTTCCCAGGGAAATTTCCAGGCTTTTGCGTGTTTGTCTAAAGCAAATTTATTTATTTCGGCGGTGGTCAAATAAACACGGGGCCCGGGGAGACGCGGGGATCGTTTGTTGTTGCGCTGTCTTGGTTCGATAAGGAAACCTTTGATGAAGTGAAGGGACTTTGTGTGCCTAATCTGAGGCTAGCAGCTCCACAGAGCGATTGTAAAAATGCTGCGGTGTCTGCAGGGAGCAGTAATTACATAGGAGGATTAAAAGGTCCTAAACCTCACCTATATTTCACTTTTGTAAACGAGGGAGGAACAAAGAGCGCTCGGCTCGCGGAGAGGAAAGAATAATTGACACAATTCGCCGGCGCTGGATGATTATAATGTAAATACTGGCATGGAAGAGGGCAAAACTAATTTAGGCCTTCAACTTCTCATCCGACGTTTAACAAGGGGGATAAACACCTCTTTTTAAAGGAGTGTCATGAAACCCAAACCCCAGTTTTCACTTTGATTACCTTTGTTGCCCTCTTTCGGCTAAGCCCCTGTCTCGGGCACTTGGCAACCAGGCTGGGGGATTTGGTAAAACTGGCTTTTAAGCCCAAAAAGGGTCTATGCGAGGTGGGGGGAGACCAGGGGATGGGGCATCCGCTTCCAGCAGCCTTCAGCACAGCCACAACCGGCTTAGCTGAAGATGGCAAACCCGAGGTTGAGTAACTTGAGTGTTTGAGCTTTGAGTATTTCCCCGGTTTTTTATTTGACCTTTGAGTATTTCCCTGTTTTTTGAGTGTTTGATCTCTGAGTATTCCCATTTTTTGAGTATTTGACCTTTGAGTATCTCCTTGTTTTTTGAGTATTTGACCTTTGAGTATTTCCCGTTTTTTGAGTATTTGACCTCTGAGTATTCCCATTTTTTGAGTATTTGAGCTTTGAGTATCTTCTTGTTTTTTGAGTATTTGACCTTTGAGTATTTCCCTTTTTTTGAGTATTTGAGCTTTGAGTATTTCCTTGTTTTTTGAGTATTTGACCTCTGAGTAGTCCCATTTTTTGAGTATTTGAGCTTTGAGTATTTCCTCGTTTTTGAGTATTTGACCTTTGAGTATTTCCCATTTTTTGAGTATTTGACCTTTGAGCATTTCCCTGTTTTTTGAGTATTTCCCCATTTTTTTTGCTGTTTCTGCACTTCTGGGTGTTGATAAGACTAAAATATGTCAAGCTCCCATACAAAACACAAGAAGTCTTGGCTCCAAAATGATACCTTTTATTTTTATATTGGAACCAAGACTTCTAGTTTTTTGCATGTCTTCTTGTCTCAGACCAACACGGCTACCAAGTACACCCATCAAGCTCCCATGGCTTTTTCCAGCCTGACCAGAAACAAGGGAAGCCGAAGGCCTGTTCTCATGAGATTTTCATCCCCGGGTGATTTAGAAAAGCACCGGGCTTCCTGGGTGTCACCGGAATGGCTCAGTGCTGGGCCTGCACGGCGAGGGGAAAGGCTGGCATGGCTAGCTGGGGCTGGGAGAGCCTGACGCTCCTCAAGTCACCGTGGGGGAAGTCCCTCATTGCTTGATTCCCAAAATTGGACGCACCCAATTAAGGGTAAAAAATATGTGCCTGCAATTACACGCCTGAGTTATGACTTTAGTGACAATGAGCATACAAGGAAGTCGGATAATTGCATATGCAAATGAACGGCTACCTGATTTGCATATGTGACTGCAGAGCTTGCGTGGGAAAAGGCAGCCCATCCTCCCGTGGCCTCTTTCGCAGGAGAGGATTGGGCGGTTCCAGCTGCGATGATCAAAGCCTTGATCTCAGTTTCCTCGCTGGAGAAATGACAACAGCGCTTCTCTATTTGCCATGGGGCGGTGCAAAGTTTACTGAATGAATACGTTGGATGTCAAATGCTTTGAGATCCTCAGGTAGAAAGTGCCGTAAGAGTGCAAAGGGCTAATGATCGAGGGATCAGCACTGTGGTTACTAGATGAGCCGATACCCAGGAACAAACACACGGGGAGATTACACAACGCCGGGGACAGGGAAAACATCGAGTAGTGCTCTTTTGCCCAACTGACTTCTGATTTCAGCTGATGAGAGCAACTGCGCAGATGAGCATCGACGTCTGAATTCTCCATCGGCCGAACGTGCCCATAAACATGTAGGTATGAGACAGGTTTGTTTTGCTCTCTGAAGCAGAGGTTAAATTTCCTGACAGCTGTTGCGACTGGTAAACACCACTTTGGATGAGTTAGTCAGATTTGCTCCCCATAACTTCGATGGAGAAGCAGCCCTGAAACGACAGAAATGAGAACAGCGCCTATATTTGGTGCATTTTATAAGTGTGTGAGAAGGAGAAAGGAGGTTTTACTCCCAAATAGAGAGTAAATCTATCTTTACTCCCAAACAGAGGGTAAATCCATCTTTTCCTTGTAGCTAAAGCAACATCCCTGGCTTCTGGGTGGCTGTGGAAGGGAGAGGGGAGCGCCCCCCCCATCCCCCAAATGCTTTGTGTCTTGGATAAGAAGCAATTATCAACAATATAATAAGGATGGGAAAATGAACAAAGGGCTCAATATGTTAAACTAAATGACTAACACGAATGCATTCCTATTAATGGGTCAATATTAGGTTGGCAGTTGCTGTCTGTCCCCATTTCTCATTAGCCTTGACCTTGACCTCAATGCCCTGTTTGCCGGGAGACAGAATCCCATAACAACTGGGTTGGCAAACGTATTGGCCCGGTAATCCATAAATATTGATTCGTTGTTTGCAGTGTAATTTAAATGTCAGTTATAAGCTCAGGGCAGATAAAGATCTGTATCAACAATAAAACTGGATAGAGGCTATAAATCCCTGGGGAAAGCTAAGTTAAAATGGAAATGCAACGTATGCGTCCTTTAAAAAAAGAGAGCGAGAGAGAAAACATTTCCTGGGCATGACAGGGAAAGGGAGAGGTGCTGATTATCTGGGCAATCAGTCTGATTTTACATGCCAAATTAGGCCGTCCCCACTCTGGGTGTGTCTGCACAGCCACTGTCACGTGCAGCCGGGGTGGACATGGCAGGCTGCCCTGGCATGTTGGCAGGAGATTTGACCCAGCAAAGCAAACAGCGGCATCGATGCACGGCAGAATAGACCCTGGTGAACTCCGGCGAGCACCGGGTTGCAGATCTCCGCGCATGCTGCAGCCTGAATGAGATGAGAAGCTGTGGCATGTGTTCCTGTAATCACGGAGAGAGGCCACGGGAAGCCGGGCGGGATTTGCAAAGTCATCGGCTCCAGGCCATTGCTGGCAGCCGCGTCACATCACCCCGTCCCTAAATAAAATAAGTTGTTTGCAAAGATCTAGTTGGTCTAAGAAAAGATATCACCTCTGCCACCAGCGCTGATGCCCTTTACAACCTGGATACCCGTCCCTTCTGTACCTTTAACCAGCTCCTTCTTTAAACTACCTTGCTCTCGCTTCGCTGGGAAGCTTGTTTCAGGACTTCTCTCCTCTGATAGGTAGAAACCATCTAACTTCCAGCCCAAATTTATTCAGTTACTCCAGACTGCAAGGTCATCTCCCCCTTCCTGGCTCTGGTTTCTTTTCAGCTCATGTAAAAGAAAATCTCCTGTACGATATTCCGATCCCCCTCTGGCTGGGCAATGCCTCCCTGCTTCGCGTCACCGACACATCGCAATGGGCACTCCTCTTTCCCCAAGTCTGTCTACAGAAAAACCTCGAGGTGAGCCGGAGTCCACCCCCTGCCTGGAGCTCGCACTCAGCCCCTTTGCTGCACTTGGGGGTTGTAAGATGGGTGGGGGACAACATTTGGCATGCCACAAATGAGCCCCACACCCTCCCCGAGTGCCACTTGGATCCCCTTCCTCTGCCCGATCGTCTGCTCTGCTTTCTACTCCCCCCCCAAGCTGCTGCTCTGACTGCTGCTTCCTGCCCCATCCGCGGCTGGGCTGCTTGTCCCCTCCGCGTTGCATGCCATGCACAGAGGCTGCCCAGGACCTTTGCGGCACGTGGGCTGCGGGGTGGCTGTCCTCGGTTTTAGGCCACCCCTGCCAGCCCACTCTGCTTCCCCAGCAAAGGCAGCTGCTTTCCTTCACTGCTGGGCAGGAAAGCACATGGTTTTTACTCTCCTCAGCAGCTCTTTGCAGAAATTTTGAGCGTAATTTTGCATAATTTTGAGCAGACCGCGAGCCCAGGCTGCGTTTTGGACTATGCAGAGTGTGCATCCTCCATGTGCTCAGCAAGCCAAGAGAACGAGCTCTGTCCTGCCAGGGCTCGCTGTTTTGAGGACTGGCCCTGAGCTGAGCAGGGAGCCTGACCTCACACCCCACGAACGCTCCTGTGCCCGGGGTGCCGCAGGCACAGACGCACGCCGTAAGGGACGGCCCCACCCTGCGGCCCTTGGTGAGACCCCTCATTGGAGCAAGGACTAGCTCTGAGGGCAGCCATGAATTAATGCAGAGGTGAGGTCTGCCCCCATCCAGATTCCAGCAGCCCCTTTGCCCCATTGCAGGACATTAGACATTAGGAAAAACTTCCCTGGAAGCACTGGAACAGGCTCTGCAGAGAGGTGGAAACCCTGAGAGGTTTCCTAGCCCCAAGAAATACTCTTTCTTCAATGTTTCCTTCATTTCTTTATCACACACGGTTTCCTTCTGAAAACCTCTATTGATAAAGTCCAATACTACTCATATTTTCCATTATCCCCTTCTAGCCTCTCTGACATTTATGCAGGTCCATTTTGATATCCCAAGATGCACTCATATGTTTAGCCCAAACACCATCCCTACATCCTTTGAGAAAGTTTCAACCATTTCAGCAGCAAATTTCTCTCAACCTCCTCATCCAGCTAGGACAGCTATTGGATCACTACACAGACTTCCTTTGCACATCTTAGTGCTGCGGTTAATTTTTTTATAATGAATATTAAAAAAAGAGCAAAAGGTGTCAAATCTTGAACTGTGTTCTTACTGTCTAGTATTTTCCTATTGTTTTGGGGACACTGCATAATTTTCTGTGCTCCTTCATAGAAATTTCACCATCGATAAATGTACTTTCATCAGATCCGTCATGCTGGTCATCACCCTCCCAAATGCCTTGGCATAGTCTACTCAACATCCATGCACATCCTTCACCGTCATCTGGCACCTGTCAGTCAGGCTTGTTCACCCTCAGATGGTGCCTGAAACTCATACCACTTCTTCCACATCCCTTCTGTGCTTGATGAAACACATCGTCAGCTTCAACACGTTCAACAGGGATGAGTTCCCAGATAACAGGCAAGGAAGTTATAGGACTTCAGCTGTTGACACCAACTGCTTCCTTTCCTGGTCCTGCTATCCAGTGAAAAGCACATTTTCCCAGTGTTATGCATGGACATGTTGTGAGCTGAGAATAAGCATCCATTAGGCTACGACCCAATTAGGGAGGTCACTGTCTTCCTGGCACTTGCCAATTAGATCGTTTTCTTCTTATTCTTCTTCGTCTATCAACTGCACTTCATTAGGATTAACCATATTTTGTCATTCGTACTTATCACCGGTAATAGGATCATCATCACTATCACCACTTATTAAAGTTATTACCATTATTCTTATTGTTGTTATTGTGCTCACCAAATCCTATCCAAGGGGCATCGAATAGGGTAGCCAGAACAGGACAAAAAGGCAAGTCTTGGCCAGGCTCGGTGCAGGGAGAGGTTCGGGTATGAAGCCAGGGAGATGGTTCTGCTCATTCAGAAATGCACACACTTTTGTAGGCAATGTGCTTCATCCCTCTGCAGGCCTCTTATGGTCCCCCCACCATGCTCTCAAAATTTTGGCCATGCAAAGGAGCACGTTACAGGAAGGGCTGGTGGATTCCCCCTCAGATTGGGATGATGTCGCATGCACGGCAGTGCACAGATGATCCACTCCGATGCACCGTGGCAGGTCTTGGGAGACGCAGAAGCAAAACCCGGATGCGTGCCTAGGCAATATATTGTATGTCTGTCTCCATCCCCCTAGATTTCCACTCACCAGAGCATCTGCCTCAGGAAACCAGCCCTGTGCTGATAGTGGGAAACTAACCCTTTATTGTATTCCCCTTTCCGGGCCATCTTCAACCATCCAGGCAACTTCCCTTTGCTCTGGGGTCCTCTGTAAATATAGCTGGCTCCAGGCTTAATAATAACCCTGTAATGGACACAGCTTGATCGCCACCAGAAGTAGTGACCAAGGACACTGTCACATGGCCTGTGGTTTGACCACATCCTTTCTGCCCCTGCCACAGACCTGTGAAGCCGTGCTGTTCTTGTATGACCATTGCATGCACTACGGGGCCTGGGTGAAAGCTTTGGATAGCCGGGAGATTGTGCAAAGCAAGACCCACGCATCGCACGACGCACCTGGGCAGGCCTGACACGGCTCACAACTGTACACACCCTCTGCGTGCTCCCAGATGTCCTATTTGCACGTGAGGCTGCAAGCTGGCTGGGGACCCAGCCTGGCTCACTTGCACAGTTGAAGATGCCCTGCAGAGCTGACCTGTGACTGCCAAAAGACCCTGGACACAATGGCAACTCCAAGTGACAATTCAGGACTGTGCTTGGGTTGCCTCTGGGGAACACCATTCACGAGCGTTTGTCACTGCAGCATCTACATCTGAACTTGCCTGAAGGGTGGTTCTCCTGCCCCGTCCCTTCCCCCCGAATCTTTACCCTGCCGTTTGGCAGCCTAACAAGACACAGCCAGTCCCAGAGCAGGAGAGACAGGCCTTGATGGCAACTCCACCCTCCCCAGCAGAGAAGGGGCCGAGGCTGCAATGTTGAGAGCAGAGCCCAGATCCCAGCCCCAGCATTTGACAATGCTCAGAGCCGTGTAGTGCCTCCAGCCCATCTCTGGAGCTTACATCTCAGGGTTTCCCATGGTCCATTTTTGGAAAATGAGACACATAGGTGGTTGCAAAAAGGATGGAGCTGGACTGTTCTCCGTGGGGCAGATGACAGAAGGAGCAACGGGCTCCAACTGCAGCAAGGGAAGTTGAGGTTGGATATTAGGAAAAACTTTCTCACGAGGAAAGTGGTGATGCACAGGAGAGGTTGCAGACTCTCCATCCTTGCAGGAAGACCTGGGTAGACAAACCCTTGGCTGGGATGATGAAGTTGGGGCTGGTCCTGCTTTGAGCAGGGGGTTGCACTAGATGTGACCTCCCGCGGTCCCTTCCAGCCCTCTTTTCTCTGATGCTATGCCAATGACACACCTGCACGGAAACCTCCTGCCAGAGCTCCTCTGCCATCAGACTTCGCCTCCGCCTGACTTCATGGCAACCTTTAAACCCACCTGTGATATCATGGAGCATGTCGTGAGCTGTGCCAGATTTGGCCCTCAGTCCCACAGATGGTGAGTCTGAGCACGGAGGTGTAACCAAATATGTTGAAGTAGTGCAAAAGTCTCCAGGCACAATGTGGCACCGACTGCATCCAGACCTTATTTCTGAGTCAGTCCCATAGTCACACAAAACCTCGTAGCCCACTCAGCAAGTGAAATCCAGCTAGCTGCTGTTTCCCCTTTGGCAGGTGCCGTCCTGCCCATATTAAGGCTGAAAATTGTTTTGGAAACCACTCTCTTCTATAAATAGAGTAAGGATGGTCATTAGTCCCTGGGGTCTGTACGCAGGCTCAGTGGGGCACTAGTCTCCAGGTATGGGAAGATAAGCGACTGTGAGATAAGATAGGGGATGAATTAAAAGTGTGCTGGCTAATCTGTGGTCACTGCCTGTGTGTGTGCTCTTATCCCACGGTAAATGCAAGTTTACTTAGCCAGCTTTCTTTAAGGGTCATTTTTATTCCAGGATAAGAGCTTGCATGTCACACCTTCCCTTCCCTTGCAGTTACTCATTCATGTGGCCAAACCCTCAAACCGAAACCCCGGGTCTCTCGAAAATTTCATGATAAAAGTAATCCTGGTGGAACAACTGGCCACGCTACGAATAAAACATGTTGGAAGTGGTCTAATTTACTATGATAAATCAAAACGTACCACGATAAAAAGACATCAAAGTCTATCTTCACACACAACTAACTTAGCAAAATGGCGATTTTTGTCGCTGTTTTGTGACATGCATCTAAACGACACATCACGCGTACAAGTGCCCTGACAGTGTAAAGAAAGGGTTTCAAAGCAGTCTCCCACCCAAAGCAAAACACAGCTACCTTTGCAACGTGCGCTCTTGGTTGGGACTCTGTCTTTCCAGAGCTTGCAATGTAGATGGCTACTTAAGTGTTGGACTCACCCAAAAAAAGGCTACAAAGGAGAGTCATCCAATAAAGGGTGCATGAAACGGAAAGGAGCTCTGTTCACTATAAGTTGTGCTACCACCCTTTCTGCATCAGTGGTGCAAAATCAGCGCTGGGGCTTCCTTGGGGCAGGCAGGAAGAGGCAGGTTTTCCAAAGCACGCGTGCAAGCTATATAACGGCATGCCGCCTGGCCAGGTATGCATGCACGTGGCAGCGCCTGTGTATGAACTGGCTGCTGGGGTCTGAGTAGGCAGTGAGCAACCCCTCACCTGCATCCGTTAGCTCGGCACCTCGTTCGCAAAGCCTGTGCTTTCGGATGCCCAATGGCAGCCTGAAGCCTACAGCTCCTCCAAGCTCCTCCATAGGGTATCTGCCAGGCGGGCAGGTCTTGTGAAGGGCCTTTGTGAGTGCACACTGTGGGCCTTTTGAGCCGGCTTGCACTGTGAGGAGCCAACGCGCTGACACACGGGATCTTTCCCCATTTCTCCGCGTGCCGCAATCCGAAAACAAAACAGACAAAAAACCATCTCTTCGTGCAAAGGCATTTCCTAGCAGCTGGTGTGCGAAGCCTTGCCCGGCAGCTGCCAGAGCCAGCAACCCCCACAAGGCATGCAGCCCTCTGCCAAACATAACACCAGCAACTGAAGCCGGGTGTGCAAGCTCTAAGGACCTTGTTGGGTGTGCGCCGCATCCCCCTGGATGGGAGGAGAGAGCTGCCCCAGCGGACAGAGGCTTTGCCATGGGGAGAAAACTGACAGGAGGAGGGTGAGCGTGGGATTGTCACTGCGCTGGGTGCAGGAATCTGCTGGATGTGCTTGGGATGAAGCATGTGGAAGCTGAATATGGGTGTGTGTGTGTGTGCAATGTGTGCACTCCTTGACTGATTTCATCCTCTCTTTCAGCCAAGTGAAACGTAAGGAAAGTGCTGAGAGTATCACAACTCATCTGTTCAGCTCCATTGCCACCTCTCTGTTGGCCACTTGCAACCTCACCGTGCCCAGGTGGGAACAGGTCGCAGACCCTCCTGCTCCAAAAGCTGCTACCCTGTGGGCTAAGGAGAGTCTCCATTAGTACGAAGCAGTATAGGAACTATGGCACAGAGGCGAGTAATTCTGATGTCACTCAGAGGAAGGTGATGGCTTATGCACGGGACAGGGGTTCGGTCAAGAGGAGGTGTGGGGACGTCATGGGGGATGAGGTCCCAGGGAGGCACTTGAAGGAAAGACACGGCCTCTTTGCACACAAGTGAGTGGAGCCAGCTCCAAATCCAGTACGTGACATCAAAGCCGCAGCGAAGCCAGGGGAGGAAGGCCTCCGAGGGGGCAGCTGAGCAGAAGAACGGGATCAGGTTGTATTTACTCAGCAACTATTCTCCAGCAGCCCAACCACTTCTGCAACCTCCAGGTCGAGTTCCTGCCTTTCCAGCGCCGCTTTTCACGCACGTCTCGCCCCAGCGGGTCTTCCCCAGCAAGAGAAACTTGCACCGTCCCCACCTCTCTCATGCCGGGTGTTGATCTTGATTGCAAGTGACAGTCTTAATTTTCTTGAGGAGGGCACATCAGCTCCCGGCGTATCGGTTCAAAATCCTCCTCTCATCTCCACTGGGTTTGAACGCTCTCCGGTAACAAGAGCTTAGTTTTGTCTCTCCTAGCTGGACCAGTTGGCAAGGCGCAGACTGTGCAGGAAAACATTGCCACAACATCCTTTTTGTCTTGTGGAAATAAGATACAAATTCTTGGCTCGCTCGTTCAAACGCAGCCTTCGTGCTGCCAATGTATGTAAACTCGCAGCTGAGACACAGGCTACACACAGGTAGGAGCAGAGAGCAATGGAAAAATTGCTGCTTCTTCCTGGAGGAAGGCCCTCAGCTTTCCTCCCGTTAGTATGACGAGGTTCTTTGGGTAAAAGATGATGTCTTTTATTAGACCAACTAAATAGTTGGAAAAATGGTTCTTTGCAAGCTTAACACCCTTCTCGAGGCACAGCATTGCTTTTCTTCGCTGCACGCCCAATTCAGGGAGTTTTTTTAAATTTAAGGAACAGCCATTCAAATGGCTCCAGCACCTAATATCTCTATGAAGCAGCCCTAGACACTGAGCTCATTATTTATTGAAATCTATCAATGACTTTAAAAGAAATCTTTTATATCAGATTTGCAGCTAAGTAATCCACTTAATCTATTCGACAGAAAGAAAACCCACAGCCTATGGAGTCTTATGCTGCTTTTGAACATGGGTTAAATGAAACATATACTTCTTTTTTTGTCTAGAGATTAAAAAAAAAAAAGAAGGGATATCAGCCTCATGCTGATGGAGCTCACACCTCCCGGTGACATTAATGGGATTTTTCTCTCTGGTATACAGAGGAGGAAACGGAGACAACGCGAAAGCTTTTACCTCCATTTGTGAATGCGAGGCATGCTAAAGGCGCCTGACTTCCAGGATGCGGTTGCTCAGAGCTGTCTGGCCATGCTCCTGCAAGGGATCCGGCCAGCTGTAATGCACAAGGACTAGCTGGCATCCTTATTGACGGTCTTGAGAAAGCTCTGAAAGCCAAGCGTGCGGGAACATGGCATCCTTGTACGAGGGCCAGAAAAGTCATTAAACAGCGCGGAGCGAAAGCATTTCCAAACGGACTTTGAGGATCACTTCAGAGGCCGGGGCCTTGCCCTGAAGAGGGCAACAAGGGCAAAAAGTAGGACGAACGTGCTGGCATCTACTTGTCCACAATGAGAAAAGCATTGATCGGGGGACGGTGGTTATTCTCCTCGCCCGCCTTTTGGTGTCAAAGCTACACGCATGAGGATCGTGGACCCCTTTGGGATCTTACCAGATAAAACAGTGCTATGGAAATGTTATTTGTGATATAACAAATGCTTGCTTAGCATCTCAAATTCAGGGCCTGACAGAACCGGCAAGGCACGCGCTGGCTTTGCAGGCCAATGGGCAATGCCACCATCACTTCTTGGCATCTAAGGGAAACTCCTCCTATGAGGTCCCTGCACCAAGTCAACCTCAAGCAGCCCTTGAAGCAGGGCAGAGATGTCATCGGCCCCCTGTGCACAAAGACATTTCCTCCATAAGGCGCGTGTCTGAAGGCCGGTCCGTGGCCTTCAGAGGAGAATTGTGCTCGCTCCGTTTAAAACAAACTGATGCAAAACAAGCTGGGACCGCAGGATGGAAAAGAAAGGAGGGTCTGGTTTGCATTGCGCCCTCTGGAATTAATATAAACAGCCCTTGGAAGGTTTCATTAATATCCAATTTAATATGGTGCAATTGGAAGTTCATACGTGACGCCACCACAGCGTGTTTAAGTGCGTGGGGTTGAAAGATTGTACGCGGAGAATGTGACCTTTTAATGTGGTATTGAGGTATGCGCGCTCTAATCTTATTAGGTTGAAGGGCTTGAAGTTTAGAAGTTTAATTCAAACCCACATTATTATGACTTGCCCTTCGTGTTCCCTGTACGACCCATGATTAATCCATCAAAATAAAGGGAAAAAGAAACTCCCATTTGCAACATACAGAAGAGGTAATAGCACACCCGCTGAAATCATTTAAACCCCGGATGGCCAGGCCTCTCCTGATTGCTAGATCAAATAGAAAGTGTGTGGAGGAATTCGGTGCTACTTTAACCTCTGAACTTGGGGAGTTATGTTTTAATTCTATATCTGGATAATGTGACTGTAAGGTCTCGTCTGTTAAAAAAATTTTTTTTAAAAATCTGAAGTTGATTAGATAGGTCTTCA